CCCCTCTCTCTGTCCCCTTTCTTTACCCTCCCTTTCTCCGCATTGTTACTTCCTTCCCTGCGCGCCTTTCACAATAAAACAAGCGCCTCTCCCCCAGTCATCTCTACTCTCTTGCAAGCGCGCTTGTGTATAGAAAATCGATGTTTTGGAAATAATGGCAGCGGCGGTGGCTGGCTGCTCGGGCGGGGCGCCGGCGGCCGGGGCTTTGGGGACGGCGGCACGCCGAGGGCTGGCTCGTGTTATGGGGTGCAGCAGCGCGACGAGGAGTTACGAGAATGGACTTCCCTCTGCGCCGTCGGCAGAAAGGCCCTGAAGCAGAAGGGTGACCCTCTGCTCGCGCGCCGCCGCCAGCGCACCCGAAACTATAGATTATAATTTTCCTGAAAAGTCTATTTTAGAGAAATTTATTTAGAAAATTTTTAAAAACCTTACAAGTTTCAATGTTTTTAATTTTTCTGGAAATACAGCAATTTTTTCGGATTCTTTCTTGATGAGTCTCCAACTTTTTCTATCCCCACCGATTTTTGTCCTTTTTTTTGGCCATAAGTAATAACAATAAGTTGTTACTCCTGTTGCAGGGATGGGCCAGATGGGGCAGTACTACGGGCCGACCTACGGCTCGCTCTCGGCGTCTATGGCGGCGGCGGCGGCTGCAGCGGCGGCGCAGCACGGCTCCATGTCGGGACTGACGGCTCCCTCGCAGGTGAGTGTAGTTAACCCTTCATGTCGCAGCGTGTCTCGCCCGGGCAGCAGGAAACACTGAAAATGAGAAAAAAAAGGGCGAGACACCTTTAAAAATTGTTGTACCTGATGCAGGCACATTTTCGAGGAAAGTCGTTCAATTGCAAATGTACAAGCACTCCGTACTTGTTGAAGTTGAAGTTGAAATCGACTGACGATCGAAAGTGAGAGCCTGGTCGGACATTTTTTGATGATACATTTTGTCTGTGGCCAACTATAAAATGTATCGTGCATGTACGAACCTATTTTTCCTCGGTCCCAGTGTCCGGTAAAAGAAGCAATGGCATTTGAAAGTTGTTTCTGATTGTAGCAGATTTTTTGTTTTAATCTTTGGTCTCCTGTTGTCGACGAAGTAAGTCGGTTGCGCAGGGCGTTTCAGGGCGTTGCAGGGCGTTGCAGGGTGGGGCTGCAGGAGCGTCAGGGGGATCCTTTATTATCCTGGTGTCACCTGAGACCGTCGGTCCTGACTACCGCGTTACGCCCCCTTCCCCTTCTTCCCCGCCCTCCTTCTCGATTTCACATTCCGAATAATATTTATTCTTCATTAATTAATGCCGTTCCC